AGAATCTTGTTTGGACATAGCATTCATATTCATATTTATCACTCATTTGCTGGTACAGAACTAGAGAAACTTTTCAAAGCTTTTGCTGAGTGTGAGAAGATTTCCATTGACAATCCATTTAGGATTATGTTTCTCACTTGCTCTTTTTTCCACATCACTTTAAGTTTATGCCCTGTCATTCTTGTCCATTTTACGAGTGGGATCAGCTTATCCCTGTCTACTCTATACAGCCCACTCATGCTTTTGAAAATCTCTGTCAAATCTTCTCTCAACATACTTCTTTCCAAGGACAATTTTTGCCCCAACATCTTCTATCGATTCTCATAACTGAAGTTTCTCACTCCTCGACCTATTCTAGTAAATCACTTCTGCGTACTCTCCAATGCACACACATCTTTCCTGTAATGTGGCACTCCCAATTGTACACAATATTCCAGCTGCAGTCTCATAAATGTTTTGTACAAGTTCACCATCACTCCTTGCTGTTGTACTCTGTGCCCATATTAATGAAGCAGAGAATACGGTATGCTTTACCAACTGCTTTCTCGACTCGTCCTGCCACCTTCAATTACCTCAATCTCAGAGATGGTGACCATAAGGCTCTCATTGATTGTTGTACAAACCCATCTGTTCACTGTTGTCCTTTAGGGTAGCAAATTTGCCATCCTTACCTGGTCTGGCCTACATGTGACACCAGACTCCCAGCAATATGGGTTACTTTTAACTGCCCTCTGAAAAGGCCAAGCAAGATTGTCAGTTAGAGGAAATTGGCGAAACATTGGCCCTGTCAGCAAATCCACATGCTATGAAAGAAAAAAAATCTTGGTTTGTATCTCAGATGCCTTAAAATAAACTCGGAAGAGATCAGGGCTTAAGCAAAAAAGAAAACTGTCCGGCAGAAGTGGGCTGCTAAGTTAGGGCTAAAGATTTTCTTTACACGGACTCTCTGTCAGAGCTCAATGAGATCTGAGTCTGAGGAAGGGTCACCGGACCCGAAAGGTTAACCCTGATTTTTCTTCATCGATGCTGCCAGACCTGCTGAGCTTTTCCAGCAACTTCTGTTTTTGTAGTCAATGAGGTCGCGATCCTTTCTGATTGAAAGTAAAATGAGAGTGTCCCCTTGATAATAATCAGCGAATAGCAACAATCAGGCCTCTCGGCCTGACGTCTTGGTACTAGCCCTCTCCATGAGGAATTCACCCAGTGCCTCTACCCTGCCTTTTCCTGTAGCCCCGCAATTTATTTCCCTATACAGGTAATGATCCAAATTCCCTTTTAGATCCTGGAATGGGCCATTGTGAAGCAAAGCCTAGACTGACCAAGGTCGTGTTTCCACCTGAAGCGGGCTAGCTGTGTCCAGCTCCGGGGAGATGACAACAGTCCGAGCCGGCAGAGAGTGAGGAGCTGTCTGCCAGTGGGATCTGAAATCTCAGGCACAGGTGGAGCTAGCGGGGCGCGGAGATTCCCCATTCTCAAAGGAGCAGCGACTCAACTTCAGCTCACAGATGGAGGTCTGAACGCAGGTTTTTCCCCGCAGGACAGTTCCAGCTGGGCAAAGGGAACAAATCCAGGGCTGGCTCGAAGTGGCCTGAGGCTACCGGACTCATGAACTGTGATAGCTCATTAACCAGCCATGTAAACATATGGCGCAAACAACGCTGTTTCTCTCCCCTCTGTAAAACGCAAACAGCGAGCCGAATTCAAAATAGTTTCTCTCTGACATCTCAGAGCCAGGCAGCCCACAGTTACAAAACCACACACAATAAAATTATTTTCCTCACTTCTGTAACTTGAAGACAATTTGACGCCAGCACCTCTTGCTTATTGTTGAAAAATAAACACAATTTGTCTTATTGAAATTGTAATTCCGTTTAGACATATTTTCTGTCGTCTCAGAAAAAGGTGTGGGAAAGCCAGGGGCAGATGGAAACGTGGGATTCGAAACAAACAGATCAAATATGACCTGGTTGAAAGGCGAGACCGATTGGAAGGGCCGAATAGCCTGCTTCTCCTATTTCGTACCTTCCTATGACAATGTGGATTGACAGTGAGAATAGTTTACGCCAGCTAGGCGAGCTACACAATGACAGATTCCTGTGAGCTCAGTAAATCAGAACTATCTACTTGTTCATTGTGCACGTCTGGTCCTGAATCAGACAACAATCCCCCATTGAAAGGCAAAGTTAACCACCTCCCAGAAAAGATGTGAAATATATTCAGAGAACTGAAGGCGATTGGACCGTACAAAGGAGTCCTTACAACACAGCTAGAAGGGGATGGGGTGGTGGTCTGGAGTGGGGAAGCTGTGGGTGAGTTTGATTTTGGAGACAAATTTACACTCCTTCGTGATAACAACAAATTTGACACTCAAGCACAGAGACACGCCTGTTCATTTACAGAGGCAGTTAACACTCAGCCAAACAGCACATGTACACGAAGCAACGCATTTCTGAAAGGAGCAAATTACTGCAGATGCTGGAATCTGTACTGAAAACAAAAAAAATGCTGGAAATCACAGCGGATCAGGCAGCATCCATGGAGAGAGAGCAAGCTAACGTCTCGAGTTTAGACTTGAAACATTAGCTTGCTCTCTCTCTCTCCATGGATGCTATCTGATCCGCTGTGATTTCCAGCATTTTTTTTTCGTTTTCAGCATTTCTGAAAAGTTAGTCAGAGAAAAAGTAAGGGAAAACCAGACGCGTGTTATCGTTTATCAATCAGCGACCAAAATGTATGGTCATTCTATGCTGTGAAAACGAGTGTAATTTTTACCTGCAGTGTTCGATCATTCTACTCCAAAAAGGAAGAAAATAAATTCATATTGCAAAGTGCATCATCTGTTATTTGTGATTCAAGGCAATAATGGTTAGAAACAAAACCAGAAGTTGCTGGGAAAGCTTCGGGGGTCTGGCAGCACTTGTGAAGGGAAAAAACAGAGTTAACGTTTCGGGTCCGGCGACCCTTCCTCGGAGCGTTTCCAGCAATTGGAGTTTTTGTTTCAGATTTGCAGCATCCGCTGTGTTTTATTATGTTTCAAATATATTGCCTGATTTAGCTGGAGCCATGGGGGCCAATGTGTGAACACTTACGTCACTGGAACATAGGAACAGGAGTAGACCATTCAGCCCCTTCAGCGTGTTCCACCATTTAATGGGATCAAGACTGATCAGGGGCCTAATTTCATATACCTGCCTTTTACCCAGATCTCTTAACACCTTTGCTTAACAGAAATGTATCTGTCCCAGATTTAACATTAAACCGACCGAGCACCCACTGCCATTTGTTGAAGAGAGTTCCAAACCTCTACCACCCTTTGTGTGTAGAAGTGCTTCCTAACATCTCTCCTGAATGGTCTGGCTCTAATTCTCAGACAATACCCCTAATTCTAGAATCCCCAACCTGTGGAAATAGTTTCTCTTTATCTGCCCTTATATGCTGAGCCAGCAACCCGTTATATCGTGAAAATCGCGTTGAACCAGTGATCCATAATCCCAGGTCTTGAATCTGATGATCTATTGCAAATAATATTGATTGTGAACATTTCATCAGCGAGGCCGAGTTTCCCCGAATTCGGTGGCAGTAATCTGGAATTTTGCAAACGGTAAATTTTCTTGTCATTTGTTCATCTGCCTTGATATTTGTGAAATAGTGCCACATGGAATTTCACTTCTAATGAACTGAGTTCTTTCCCCGCCAGTACTGAATAAATAAAGCACGTTGATCCTGCGGAGATTTTTGCTTCTGGCTCCATTCCTGATTGCTTTCGGTTCCTAAATCCAATGAAATGTGAAAGATTTACTTGCTGTAAACCAATATTTGGGATCCCATTGGTTTGCGATTCAGGTTAAGGAAACGTTATTATTAACTCATGGTCTACAGAGACGGGGTTTTGCATTGTTTCTTGAAAACTATTGTTTTATTTTACCAAAGTTACCCAGTGGTCCTGAAGGATATCTCAAGGCTATTCATTATTCTGTAAAATCGGTTGAAGTGATCCCTGGAGATGCCAGAAGAAGCGGAGGCTACAGTCTGGAATGCACTGTGCAGAGGGATCGTTTGATAGTCATTTGAATAGAATGAATGTGTAAGATTAAGAGATTGGCACTGAACCTAAATACTCAGTGAACTAGGTTTAGGCACAATCGGCCGAATGGTTCCCCTCTGCACCGTCGCAATTCAGTGATTCTAAAATTCCTTCAAGCAGCCTCAGTTTCTGTCCCGGTGTATCTAAGCAAACAATTCAGAGAATTAAACACAAAACCGAGATTATTTCGCAGATCCTTTGGTCTTTTTGTCTACTAAGGATCCTAAGGAGCTATCTAAACGGTATATTCGTTGAAATGCGAACATCAGGTGTCTTTATGAGGTTAAACTATTCCCTTTGTGTTGGGGATAACAAGGTGCAGGGCTGGATGAACACAGCAGGCCAAGCAGCATCATAGGAGCAGAGAGGCTGACGTTTCGGGTTGGGACTGGGTTACAGACAGTGTAATTCATATACAATCCATAAAGAAGGCTCTGTCAGGTGGGACCAAAACGCCCCACAAACCTCTTAGATTCACAATAACTAAAAAAACAGAAATTGCTGGAAAAACTGGCAGCAGACAGCAGAGTTAATGTTTTGAGATACAGAAGCCTTTCTTCAGAACTGGCTTTAGAGTTTTCTCCAGCGATTTCTGTTTTTGATTTCCACCATCAGTTGTTCTTTTGTTATTTCTCTCTCTGCCTTAGATTAACAGATCAATTTGAAAGTCCGTGAGATAGTGACTCGTGCACAGTTCTGCGATGTTCTTGCCAGACTTACTGTTAGTTTTAAAAAATAACGTGATGGGTAACGGCAAACATTATGAATCGAATAGAACTGTGTTTGTCTCATTCAGTTAAACATTTCAGTGAACGAACGGGCGCTGATCACAATTTCTTGTTGTGTAACATGGGCAAGTCAGTATTTGGGATATAAACAGCCCCTTACATACCAATCCCAATTTGTTTTTGTTCAGCAACCATTAAAGAACAAATCTACTGTGATGAGGAACACTGAAGAAGCTATTGTAAAGATTGCACAACTGTGAAGATTTGAAGAAGGCTGTCGTTTTATACAATAGACGTTCCAGACCTCCGCAAGTTGTTGTTTGGAAGTCGATTAATTGAAGCACATTTTTACTGTGATGACATTGGTTCGGCCATACTCCCAATAGCAGGAGTAAAAAATGTAATTCTGAAAGAGACTGGAAACCACAGCTATAAAAATTCAGCAGTTCGGACAGCAGAACACCTGAAGAAAAGTCACTGGACTCGAAATCCTAACTCTGTTTCTCTCTCCCCAGTTGTTATCAGACCCGCTGAGTTTCTCCAGCCATTTCGGTTTGTTTCTGATTTCCAGTATCCTCGGTTCTCTGAGACTTTTGTTACAAAAACAAAATTCTATTCTGAACAAGGGTCACTGGATTTCGAAACATTAACTCTGTTTTTCTCTCCCCAGACCTGCTGAGTTTCTCAAACAATTTCTACTTTTGTTTGTTTCAGATCTCCAGCATCCACGGTTCTTTAAAATAGAATGCCGCTTTCCAACTAGTGTGTAACAATGCTTCCTCGTGTTGCTGAATTTGGGGTTTTGCAGAGAATTAATAATATGCAGTTTGCCGACGATTAAACAGCTCCCTGCTCCCTGACCCAACATGCAGCTGATAACCTACTTTGTTTTTACTGCATTGTTGAAATAAGGTAGATCGTATTACTTCTTCCTCTGCCAGACACGGAAAGAATTAGGAAATTATTATCTAGGCTAGAACTGGAAATGCGGGGAAAAAATTGGGATGTTTACCAATCTTGCAAATATGAAAACCATGCTGAGCTTTGTTTCTGTTAGTGTTTATGTTCCAATATCTAATAAATAGTACAAGATTTCCTGTTTAAAGTGAAAATCTGTACTTAAGTGAAGGCTAATTACATTAATTCCGCCTGACAGAGAGCTTATTTTTAAATGTTTTCACTTGTAATTATGATCAGATTGCTTCACGCCGCGCAAAACCAAGAAATTCGAGCCCACGATTACGAAATATGAGATATTTCCGCCTGAAGAAAACTCAGTTGATGATTTCAAATGATAGGGAGTTTGATGAATCATGTATTTCCCTTCTGTTAGATATTGCCGGCGCTGAGATTTAACTTCCTCAGAATTCCTGGGCAGATAACCTCTGGTGGTTCAGCACTTTGAAAGGTCGCCCGAGTTGGATAGGGTTGGCTAGAGAAAGCACACAGCAGGCAAAACGATTCCTACAAATCAATTTCTATTATTCATCTCTGACAAAGTAATTATGTTCACGGAGGCAGTTTAATTCACTCTCCAGCCATCAAGTTAGTGACGGGCTCAACATTAGGGGCCGCTTGACTTGGCTGTTGCCAGGCGATTATAACTTTTCTTAAAGAAGAAAGATTTTTCGATAAGAGAAGAATGGTATCTGATCAATCGGAAGGTGTGTGTTTGCCTTCAAAGCAACTGGGTTGGGAGACAATGTCCTGAGCGTTTTCTTTCCTCGCTTCAAAGACAATGTGAACATGCGCAGGACAATCATCCAAAAGTGAATAAGTTTGCTGAAGTAACCACACCCCCAATATAAAAAAATAAAAATCCGGATGAACGTATCACAACATTCACATCTACCTCCATTGAACATGTGTGACTGACACAGGATGAGAAATCAGAATATTAGAGATCTACGTGTTAGCACATTATCCTCAATAGTTAAGGAGCACCAAGCAACACTGACAGGGGATCGCAGTTTGGAGTGTCAGTGTAGCGAGCGCTGGCTTTAATGATGGGACGCAATGCAGCAAAACGGCAGCTTTTAGGAGTGGGCGGGGGGGGGGGGTGTGGGAGGGGGCGCGAGGAAGGGGGAAGGGTCGGTTGGTGAAACTTGGTTCATGGAATCAAACTTGAGACTGCAGCATAATCTCCAGATTTTAAAGACAAAACGCGTGCTGCATTGTTTTAATAAATACTATATTAATTCTAAATCACGTTTCCCCTTTTAAAGAAAACATTCTCTATGCATGTATAATTTTCAACCAAAATTCTATTTCCAGTGCACAGGACTGGACGCCTCTCCGTCTGCGGTACAGATATTACTTTTAACGAAGGTAAACGCAGTCGTCTCACTCTTCTTGTAATTGTTTGAAAATTTATCTCTGCGGCCAGGAAAACCCTGCGGTACTGCCACACACACGCACACACATACTCTCTCTCTCACACACACACACGCACACACATACTCTCTCTCACACACACACGCACACACTCTCTCTCTCACACACGCATACAAACACACACACATACACATACATATGCACACATACACACATGCACACAGACTCACACATACACACATACACACAAATACACACATACATACATAAACATACACACACACCCACCCACACATAGGTATATATACACACACACATACACGCACACGTATACACACGCACACATATACATACATACACACACAAACACATACACTCACATATACACACATACAGACACACATACACATTCACACACACACATACGCGTACACACACATACACGCACGCGCACACACATACACATTCATACACACATTCACACACAATTCACATACACACAAACATACACGCAACACATACATGCACTCATACACATACATACACGCACACACACACATACACACACACATACATGCAGACGCACACATATACACACACACACACACAACGCAGACACATACACACGCGCGCGCGCAAGCACACCCAAGTTTGAGTCCGAGAATGGGATTTAACCTGAATGCAGTTGACAGAGGCTGGTATTCCATCTAGAAGTGTGAAGTGGTTATGGAAGTGGAGAGCGTGCGGGGTTTGGGGAAAAAAGTGGGTGTGGTGGGAATGTGGGGTTTGGTGGGGGGTGGGGGGCGGGAGGTGCCGACAATACGGGGCGAGAAAGCAGATCCCAAGGTGACTGCACTGGGTCAGATGTAGGTCATGAATTTCCGCTTTCGAAAACACATTAGTTTGAAAAGTTCCGTGAAACTTCTGCTGGTGTGCTATGCTAATCTCAAACCGGATTAAATGTCCCTCAAAGACTGGGCGGGGGTTGTTTGTGGTGCGCTTGGCAATACAGATTCACGATATAACCCCACAGCAACAAGGGGGAAGCCTCGACAGAGGCAATTCGGTCGAGGTTCAGAAGTAGGCAGTGTGACAGTGTGGATGCTGTACTTTATAGTTTACCCGGACTCACTTTAACATAGCAGAGCGTGTGGTGCAGAACAGTGGAAGTAATGCATTGCACCATTAGACTGTGGCTCTTCTCCAGATCCACCTTAGAACGAATAGCTACAGCAAAAAATTCAAATCGCGGTTCGCAATCTGACTTTTCCTAAACAAAAAATATATAAAAGACCACGAGAGTAGGAATAAATCTCGTGGGCAATCCACATACAGCTATTTTTATTCTTAAATTACTGCAGTTTTAAAAAAAATCTGTCTATTTTTAAATGATGGCATTTGATCAACTGACCGGTAAATCTGACATAAATCGCACCCAATTTTGTTTTTGGTCTGGCAATCCACCATCCACCGCAACTTGACAAACTATTTGCTTCTCTTTCAAAATGATTCCTTCTCTCACTGTCAATGTGTCTTTTACAATCATAACAAATCCTTCTCTTTACCGTTAAGGTGGTCAAATTAAATCTCAAAATGACACATTTTAAAAACAATTTGAGTTCGGAATCCTCACTGCAAAAGTTGCAGGATTTGAAGGACAATGGTCGCTAAACTTGCTTAACCGGGCGCCCACAACTGCATTGTAACATATAGGAGGGAACTGCTTAATAGCCAGTAATAACTATGTACGCTGTGCACATTAAGTTTATCAATTCACCAAAGTGAGTCATTCCAAACACGCAATCTTTAGGGCATACACGTACTAGAGTGACATCTAAGCAACGTTTGCGCCTTATGTTGTATGTTTAAAATCAGAATCCAAGAGGTGATGATTTATCAAACACTTAATATCAAGGAAATGTCAGAGGAAGGGCACCTTGCGATTCACTGACGCATACTCAATCTACAGAGGAGCGTATAGAAGGCGCTTGCTCTGAGTGGAGCTGAAAACACTCGAAGTGGTGTTTCCCAACGTTTTTTTTTCATCTTCCCCCCCTCCCTGACAGATCTGTTGCACTGCGAAACATGGTGAGTGACATTGGCCGTTTCTTTAGTGTGTTTTTTTTCAAAGAAATATTGCTTTTCTCTTTCTCGAGCTCGTTGATATTGTCCGACACTAGAGCAAGTTAAATAAGTTTCCTGCTTATTGTCTAAACAAATGAGTGATGTAAGTGCGTTTGACAATGCCAGGATTAATTTGAAAGGGATGGTATTTTACCTGGCGCGGGTGGACGGTGGAGCTGTCCGCGGTGCTGAAGCTAGCTACAAAGGGAAAGCGACGCCGTAAAGTATTTGCTGTTCCTGCAACAGTCAACATTTCAAGATTACCCTTACCCACCCCCTCACCCCCTGAACACCCAACCCTCGCCTTCCAAGACCCCTCCCCGTCCAAACCCACCGGACAAAAGTTTGGGGCGATGTCGACTGATTTATTTCGAATGAATTTGATAATCTCAGACAGAAAGATAATTTCTGCCCTTGACATTCATGCAGCTGGTGAGGTTCTTTGTAAAACAGGTTACATCAGTGACCACCAGCGCCCCCCCTCACCCCACCCCAAGCCCCATTTCCGTCCCCAGCTTCCAAAGAAAGCCCTATTTCCAAGTTGCCATCTGTGCAAAAGAACAGGGTGGGAGGTGGGGATGTCGGGCATGGCGTAGCATCGGAGAGCGCCTGTCGGGAGCATTCCCAACTGAAATGACCCAGAGCGCAGGCTGAGTGACGGGAAGCAAATGGGGTGTTAAAGATTCGTGTCGCTTCGTGGAAGCGAAAGGCGAGCGCCCTGAACAATCCGTGAGTTGAAAGCCAAAGCGTTGGACTAGAGCCGCAGATGGGAGCAAGCCGAGGGGAGGGTGCAGTTTAGCAACTGCTTTGAATTGAACATCACACCAATAATAAATTGTAGGAAATACCTGCACATTGCTCTACATCCCCAAGGCTCCGATTCCTCCCTGGCGCTCGCTCTATCAGGAGCGCTGATGGTTTGAATCATACTGTTCAACATATTATTTGGGGATCGCTGTTAGAGACCCACCGTGGCTTCATTGCTGTTTCCTATGTTTCACAGGATTGCACACAGCAGGAAGGCATGACCAAGCCAATAGTCAGCATTGCCGAGAGTTCGTCCCCGGGGCAGCCTAGTAGAATAGATGCCGTTGGGGTAACGACGACTAGCCTGGAAACTGAAGCAGCAGGGGGACTCCAGGCCGCGGTGCCCGGCTCCCAAACCGCCGAAAGCAAAGCCGTCTCTCTCAAAGAAGCCCAGTCCAATGGTTCGGAGGGGGACAAGTTTGGGATCTGTAAGAATGAGTCCGCTCAGCCCAATTCCGTCGTCCATCAGGATTCTATCGAAATGTTACCCCGCAAGGATACTGCAGTGGAGAGCAATGAACGCACCAACACGGTTTACTGTAAAATCGCCGAGGTGGAGGTTAGCTACGGCACTGGGATCCCCACAATCCAGCAAAACAACGCCAAGGGCAGCTGGGTCACAAAATGCCAGAGCACGGTGTTACTGGGAACAGATGGAAATACCGCCGTATTCCCCGGCACTGTCAGCGGGGTAAGTACGTCCAATGACAAACCTGTCTTGAAAACAGTTAAACTGGGAGGTAAATAGCGGGTGGGCTGGCGGTGTAGGGGTGATACTCCAGTTTGGAACTTTACAGGTCCGTGTTATGGTTATGTTCTTGGACGAACTTGTGTTCAGCT